CGTCCAGATCGTTGATAAAGATATTGAAAGATATTTTCTTTCTAAGCATAACAAGTAGGGGGTTGTTTAGGGTTATTTTGTCATTTAAGAAACCTTGAACTGTTAAAATATTACAGAAAAAAATCAGAAAGCGTACTTTTTAATCTTTTAATCTTAATGTATTAAAAATGATGCTTCAATCTGTGGAAGAGTAACATTATTTTAAAATTTTGTTTTATAGTTCTGGCTGGAGCGTTATTGGAACAGGCGGAGCAATTACTAGATCGTGGTATTCACCCTATCAGAATAGCAGACGGTTATGAGCAGGCAGCCCGCATTGCTATTGAGCATCTAGACAAAATCAGTGACAGCTTTCCAGTTGATCCACAGAACATTGAGCCTCTGATCCAGACAGCAAAGACAACACTAGGCTCTAAAGTGTGAGTCACAAAAACTTCAGAAGAATATTTAAGTTTCACTTAAAAACATTTTGTGTTGAAAGGAGAAATCCTGGTGTTTTGATGGATTATTAAATTGTGTGTGTTATTGGAGCGGCTGCTGAAGGTTCTTTTATGTTTGATTTTGGTTAATTTCTCAATGGACTCATGTCTCAGGATAAGAAATTGTGGATCCTTTTTCTCTAAAGTGTCAATTCCATGAGGTTAAACAGTTGCAAAATCAATTTCATTCTAACCTGTTAGTTCCAGATTTCTGCATCATAGCAAATTCCAAGAGTAATGCAAACCTTTTAAAAATAGTTATGTGTTATATTGCAAAGGTTTGTTTTGGTGGGTTTTTTATTTCCCTAAAAAAAATTTTTGTAGGATAGTTCCATAAATGCATTTTTCATTATAGGTTCTGTGCACAGTATGTAAATTCAGACATTGTAAGGGCTTCCTTTGCAGAGCTATCTTAACAGTGACACAGGTTTCTGTTTCTGTGATGTGAATGTTTCTTAGTAGTTAATTATCCTCACTTGTTTCAAATCTGTATGTTGAGACTATGTCCACAAAAACTACTTAGACAAACCATATTGTGTGTTCTGTTTTCTGCCATATTTAACATCTTTTATTTCTGTGAACAAACAAGCAGGACCCCCTCTTTTAATGGAACGTACAGAAGTTGTTAGCTATAGTGATACTTTTTTCTGTTCAAGATTGATAGAATCACTTTTCTCTTCCAAATTGTGGAAATGTAATGCAACTTTATTATATTTTTTTAAACCTAGAGTTAACCGTTGTCACAGACAAATGGCAGAAATTGCTGTAAACGCTGTACTGACAGTAGCAGATATGGAACGTAAAGATGTTGATTTTGAGCTGATCAAAGTACAAGGCAAAGTGGGAGGTAGACTGGAAGATACACAGTTGGTTAAAGGAGTGATTGTGGATAAAGATTTCAGTCACCCACAGATGCCTAAAGTAAGTGATGTCCCTGTCTGCGTGTCTCATCTGTAATGGCTTAAATAAGGTTGTCTAGCCCACTTCAAATGCTGTCCTAGCATTTCTTAAGTATTTAATCAGTGTTGTGGTTTGGCTTGGTTTTTCACCCATATATCAAGAGAGAAAGGGGAGAGGAGCTTTAAATTCTTCATGTTGGAAGAGACCAAGTTAGAATTTACAATAGTCTTGAGAAACTGAGAAATGATGGGGGGAGGGGGGATTACTGTACAACTAAGTGAGGACAGGTGCAGAATTCTATGTTGAAGGAGAAATAATCATCCATAGTTTGTAATATGCTTAAGATGCTTAATGCAACTCAGTATCAAGAAATGCTTCTTAAGCTTGATGAGTTGCCATGTTGTCCTGCTTGGAACACCTCAGAAGCTGTCCTTTTATTATATTTGGTGTAGGTAAAGTCTCCAAGTCTTTGTGCGGCATACTTCAAGAAAGATGGAGGCAATTTAAAATTTCTACTATTCTAAAATATTTTTCTAGTAGGTGACACTGTTCATCCTATAAAAAGGAAGACTGGTGGAAAATGTCTGTCGTGTAATACATAAAAGGTGGCTGTGAAGATGAGTATGTAGTATTCTCAGTGGTGACAGTGGATAGGGCAAATAATGGTTTCATTGAAGCTTTTTTTTGTTTTTTTGAACATTAAACTATAAAAAGACATCACTGGTAAAGATTGTTAAGGGCTTAAACAGTGTCTTGAAGCTGTGGAATTTGTTTTAAGTGGGTTATAGAAACTTGATGGAATTATTTGGGTATAGTTTTACTTCAGAGTAAGTCAAATGATCTTCAAGTGTCCTCCTATCCCTGTGTTTTTAAAGATATATCTGTATGTATTGCAAATAGAAGAAAGAGGTGTTACTGATGTCGACTCAACTTTTTTTTTTTTTTTTTTTTTTCTTCCCAAATTGTGCAGGAACTTAAGGATGCTAAAATTGCAATTCTTACTTGTCCGTTCGAACCACCTAAGCCTAAAACCAAGCATAAGCTTGATGTCACGTCTGTGGAAGATTACAAGGCACTGCAGAAATATGAAAAGGAGAAGTTTGAAGAGATGGTGAAACAGGTAGTCTTTAAGATTATTTCTGGTTTCTACGTTTTTCATAGCCTTTACACAAAATAGCATAGTGCATTGATTTATTTCTGGAAATGAGCTAATAATCATGATAGGAGGCAACATACAAGCAATTGCAAGGCCGTGAATGAAAGTTAAGTTTATGTAAGAAAGAGATACCACCCTGGTCTGAAATTTACTTTGATCTTTATGTATGCCAGATGGTTCTTTTTCAGACTTGTGTTTTGAGAAAATTAGGAGAATTAAAACCATGAAGAGATTGTTTTTCATTCCCGTGTTAGTTCTGATCAGAAGATTGATGTTGTGTGTTGCTTTCAGATAAAAGACACTGGTGCAAACCTGGCTATTTGCCAGTGGGGTTTTGATGATGAGGCAAATCACTTGCTGCTCCAGAACGAGCTGCCTGCTGTTCGTTGGGTTGGTGGACCTGAAATAGAAGTAAGTAAAATCTTCTAAAATTGGGCTTCGTACCAGTTCTCAAACATTTGTTAAGTAATACACAGTAGCAGTTAAAAGTTCAGGCTTTCTGGGTAGAACTGCATAATCATGTGTATGGGTAGGTATTGGAGAAGAATCATTGGGCGTATATGGGAAGAACCTACAATGAATGGGATTATGGTTTATAATTGGAGTGTATGTGTATTACTTGTTAAAAGTTTTATGTGGCTAGGAATGTTTCTGCTTTAGTGTCGCTATTGGCAGAAACAAGGCATCGCCTGAAATACTTTGAAGTGATGAGAAGATAACCTTTTGAAATAGGCACTTGACAGATTTTCTTCCACTAGTTTTATGTTATGAAAAGCATAATGGAAATGTCTTCTCAAAGTAATTGATGGTTGTTTAACTTCAGTTAATTGCCATTGCAACTGGAGGACGCATTGTTCCTCGCTTCTGTGAACTCACGGCAGAGAAACTGGGTTTTGCGGGTATTGTCCGAGAGATCTCCTTTGGAACAACGAAGGACAGAATGCTTGTCATTGAACAGTGTCAGAATTCCAGGGCTGTGACCATTTTCATTAGAGGAGGAAATAAAATGGTGAGATGCTTAGTTTGTTATGAGTGTTTGATACATAAGTTGCAGAATGTGTGGTTTCTTTCAAAAGCATATTAACTCTTCTTGATTTTGTCTAAATTTTCCTTGCAGCATGGACAAATAGAAGGGGGCGGAGAGTTGTAGGCAGTCGTGACTATGTGTTAGAAGTCACTTGTTAGATTCACATCCTGTGTTTTTGAATGAAAACTCTGTTTTCTCACTATTAGACCATATAGTTCATAAATAGAGAAATAATTTTACCTGTGGATGCTCTAATTTGTTTTTTCTTATGGGAGGGTCACTTTTATGAGTAAAGACATACTAGCATTTTTGAAAAATTTGGTTTTATTATAGACTTAGGTATGTCACTTCTGATTTAGTCCAGTTAAAAAAAAAAAAATTAAAAAAACAAACCGAAACCCCCACATGCGCAGAATGAGACCATTTTAAATACTTAGGTACTTAACCTGGTTCTTCGTGTTACTGTTAGTGTTAAATGATATTTAGCATAGGTCAAGTCCTACTTTGAGTGAAAAACCTTAGGAGGAAAAGAGCATAACCTCTAGTCCAAACAGTTCTTTCAGAAAGCAAAAATACTGCGTTAAAGGTTAACATAACTTGTTAAATCCTTCTACATCTGTTGAAGTTGGGAGTTGACATAAATTGCAATCTGAAAATAATGTTGGCATTTAAATTTAAGTGGTTTGTGTCTTGAAAATATGCAAGATTGAAAACCTTACGTAAGTTTTTGTCATTTTAATTTATAGATTTAACAACTAACTTTGAAAATGTGTGGGGGTTTTTTATTCTTTCTCTGCCACTGGATGTCTAACATTTTATATTTTGAAATAGTATAACATAGCAGCAGTAGAGCTGCGTTAGAGCCATGAAAAGATCCTATAGTTTATTTGCAGTTTCCATTTCTGTATTAGGAAATACATCTTTGTAGCCTTCAGTTGTGTATGTGGTAAAATATATACTATTTTATAATTCCAGATTATTGAAGAAGCAAAGCGATCTCTTCATGATGCATTGTGTGTAATCCGGAATCTTGTTCGTGATAATCGTATTGTATATGGCGGTGGTGCAGCTGAAATTTCTTGTGCCTTGGCAGTCAGTGAAGCAGCAGATAAGGTAAGAAAGGAACAGTTACAACTTTCTGTAATTTATGAAGGGAAAATAAGGATTAAGTCCCTCTTAAGAGATTCCAAAAAAACTTCAAAGAGCTTCCAGAAAGTGCATATTACGGAACTTCCTGACATTCGCTGATAACCAATGTTAAAAGTTTTCCTTCCCCTCTCTGTAAAAAGTTGTTACCAGTACCTTTTTCCTTTTATGATAAGAGCAGTTTAAAATTGTTTTAATTTGCAAGTAGTTATCCAAAGGTATTTGTTCAGCTATTGAGATGCATATTCCCAAGAAAATCCGCATACCATGTATATATTTTATAGCTAGTGTGAAAATCTGCTTTTGCTAACTTCGAAGTTAATAGCTGTATGAATTTAAATTTCTTTTCCCCTAGTGCCCATCTTTGGAACAGTATGCTATGAGAGCTTTTGCAGATGCCCTGGAGGTAATTCCCATGGCACTTTCGGAGAACAGTGGTATGAATCCAATACAGACTATGACTGAAGTGCGGGCTAGGCAAGTGAAAGAAAATAATCCTGCCCTTGGCATTGATTGTTTGCAGAAAGGAACAAATGGTAAGAACTGCGGTCTGGAGAAGGAGGAGCATAACAGGGTTTTCTTTCTCAGAAGGTCAAAATGCTTACTATTTTGCCTCTTGGCCCTTTTTTTTTTTTTTTTTTTTTTTTTTTTTTTTAATTAACCGGTGCATCACTTCGGTTATGAACTCTTGCCCTTTGTCATAAAAAATTGGAATGCAGGTGGATAGATACATGCATGTTCACCAGGTAGAAAATGTATAATTGCTTGAAAACCTTTATTTGGTGGCAACATAGTTGAAGATGTTGGCTGACCTTGTGGTACAGGAATAAAAGCTACTCACTGTGAGGGAAGAGCAGGCTGTGTTTTAAGTACTGCAGTTTTAGTGATCCAATTTACGCTGCAGCCCTACAAACAGTTGTTTTGAGAAACAGCTTGTGAAGAAGTAAACAAAAGGTTGGAAATGTCTTTAGGTAGTATTGGTCACATCAGTACGTATGCATATATAGACCTGTAACAAGCATGTGAAGAGTTAGAAACCAATGTGTGAAAACTTATTTTCATCTGGACATACACTTTTCACACTCTTATTCTGTTTCTTTTTTCAGAAAAGAAGGCGGTAAATTTTGGAACACAATCTAAGACATTGTATTTATGTACATTGATAATCCTTCTTTGATTAGGTGTTCCTGCTTTACGGCATTTGAACTTTCGCTACTTTAGTGGTTGCTCAGCCCATAGGATGCTTCTAATATTTGTATATGGTAACTGTACTCTTCAAAAAATAACGCAGAAAGGTGAAAAGCTACAATTGGGGAAGACTTAGTTAGGAAAAGAGTTTGGATCTTAATGTTCCAAGATCTTTGATAAGAACCCAGACATAAAACTCTAGTTTGTACAAATTGTTTGTCAGCTATGGTAGCCAAGACTAATAATTTTAAAACGTTCTTTAAAATCACACGGGAATTACTATCTCGGGTTAGATGTTATATCTAGATTTGAGGAGGGTATCTAATTCTTCTGCTTCTTTTTGGCAGATATGAAGCAGCAGCATGTTATAGAAACCTTGATTGGTAAGAAACAGCAGATTTCTCTGGCGACCCAGGTTGTTAGAATGATTCTGAAGATTGATGATATCCGTAGGCCTGGAGAGTCTGAAGAGTGAAGGTTGAAAAGCAAGAAACATTAAGGGGGCCACAGCAGTAGCGAAGACGGTAGTATTCTGATGCTTCATCTTCAGCTATTTATTTTGGACACTTTTTGTTTCAGATACTGTAATGGCTAATTGTTGGAAATAAAACACAATTTAGCACTGGTGGTTTCAAGACTTGTTTCAGAAGTACTGTTGCATCTTTTCTTAGACAGGTGTGAACATTCATGGAAAACACTTTAGAATGTATAGGGGAAAAAACATTGATAAGGCAGTAATAAAATGCCATGGGTCCTTTTCCATTGCTCTTGCAGCTAACAGAGTTAGCTGCTTGTAAGCAGAGCCCACAGATTCTCATTTAAGAGGTCTGTCACTCTTCCGTGAAGCAAGCAGAGAATTATTGTAGCCTCCAGTAATTCTCATATGTTAAATATATCAAGTACGAAGTTTCAATCCAAAGATTTAAAGGACCTGTATTTCATGCTTCCAGTTGCTTCCATTTTTTTTCTTATAATACCCTTTAACTGTGTTCCTGATTTATGTGCAAGGAGGAGTCTTTTCAGAGGTACACACATTCAGCCAAGTGGGGTTTTTTCTCCAGAACTGTTGTCTATACTACCACAATTGAGTGCACGCACTTTGTAAGTCCCAAGTATGGGTAGAGTAAAATTTACTAGTAAGGTGCCTTGCTTGACAAATTATTAGCTGCTGAAGTCTGGCATTCTGAATCCATTCATGGTTGTAATTGTGAATCTAAAATCCCATAAATACATTGGCTCATGTAGGGCCACCTCTTACTTCGTTCAGTAACACAAAAAGAAAACAGGTGTAGCTAGAACTTAAAAGGGAGTAATTTAATTGTACTAATGTACCCCTTCCACCTCATAGTGTAGTTGTACATGTGATAGAAAGGAAGTGAGAAAACAGTTACTCGCATTTTACTAGTTTTTCCCTTCAACTCCTGTCCCCTGCTGTCATGCTTTAACCCCAGCCAGCAGCTAACCCCACAAATCGCTTTGGATAGTTCAGCTCATCTGCCTGGTGGTGCCCCCTCCCGTCCCCTTGCGCACCCCCAGCCTACTTGTTGGGGGGGCAGGGGCGGAGTGAGAAGCAGAGGTGGCCTTGATGCTGTGCAAGCACTGCTCACTAATAGCTAAAACATTAGTTTGTTTTCAGCATTGTTCTGGTCACAAATCCAAAGCAGAGCACTGTACCAGCTACTATGAAGAAAATTAACTCCATCCCAGCCAGAGCCAGTACACCTGTCCACATGGGTGAATCCCATTACCAAATTGTTTCAAAGCTTCACCTATCAACTCCTCTTCAGATACGTTTTCTTTTGGCATGGCTTAGAAATCATGACTCCTTTAAAACGTGAGAGGCCAAGAAGAAAGGGGCAATACTGCACACCACTTCCACTGCTCTGCTTTTGGACGTCCTGACCAGGAGATGTGGAGGAGGCAGAGGAGGGAGGGCTCTGTGCGGGCAACACTGCAACTGGAGGGAAGAAAAGGTGTGATTGTGCTCTGCAGATGGTGTATGGGGTTGGTTCACAGCAGCTTGGAGCTTGCAGTCAGTAACGTTGGACAGAACTTCAGCATGGCGTGCTGGTAGTTTCTAAGGACGTGTGAGCTGAGACCTGGTCAGAATTAGGCGGTGGTGTGTTGGTTTGGGGTTTTTTTTCTTCCAAGGGCAGGTTTTGACTGTAAACTGCTGCCTAATTCAGAAGTCTCTAGGAACACAGAACAATTTCTTTTAAAATTGTGAAGTCATGCGGTTTTGCTGATCTGACTTACAGAAATAAAGGTTTTGTACTCTGTATATAAATATTTTTTAATGTTCAATCAGATCTTAGTATGGAAAGTCTGAAGCTTGGTGATGGGACTTTGATAAAATTGTAAGAAAAGGAAGGTTTTTTTAGAGGCTTGTACTTCTGCTCTTCAACATAACAAAGGTATAGCATTAGCGTTGTCGATAATTGTTGCATAGAGGCAATTGGAGGACAAACGACTTTCATCACAGCATGCAACATGCAACTGAAAGTATTAACCCAAATTAATGAAACCAGTGCAGCTCAAACTGGTACACTTTCACAGCGGGAATAATTGAACTTGTGCTTTGACAGAACAGTGGGAATATCAGAATTGTGGTTTTGTGCTGTGGTCTGCCTCTGGTCAAATAAAAGAGAGCGAACGTATCTGAATAATGGTAAGGTTGTGGGAGACAAACACTGGTATTCAAGTTAATCATGGTGAGTTTGTAACCATCAGGAAATAAAAGCCTCGCCTAGTGGTGTGTTTGGGGCTGAGGGCCAGAGGCCCCACGGTCCCGTCAAGAACCACTCCGTTACTCTGGGGAAAACGGGAGGTTCACCACTGGAGGGCAACGCAGGCTTGTCGCTGCCGCAGCAGCCCGCACCCAAGGTTTCCCAAATGCGAGCTGAGGCAGCCCGGCAGGTCTTTCCCAGCATCACTGGCGTGGCACACGTATGTCCTCAGCAAGACCTCAATCTTTCCGAACTCCCCTCAAGGGCTCAGTTACTTGAGCTAGTTTCATGACTGGCCCCATGCGCCCTCTTTAAGCCCAAGTTTTCACATCTTCCTAGGACCCTTCCCCTGGCCCTGCCTCTTTGTCCCGCTAGTTCTAGTTCCCCTGTTACCAGCTGGCTTCTCCCAGCCTCATTTCATAGCCTCTCCTGCTGCATTCCCGGGCCTGGGCCCCTTTCCTTCTCTGATCTCTCGCACGTCCACGCTGACACAACACTCGTCTTTGCAGGCGCACGAGGCGAGGCTGCCAGGAGCACAGCACGCAGATTCCTCTCCGTCCCTCCCAGTCACACCCGGCCTGCAGCGGCTGCGGGGTGCCGTGCACCCAGGGCTGGGCTTCCAACTTCGGGTGCGCCACAGTGATTCAGAGAAATCAGGTCTGAGTGGATTTTTTTCAGGTATAGAGTTAAGCAGAGCTGTGAAACAACATTCTTTTTTCTCTACAAGCTGACACTTTTTAATACAAACATATTTTTCCTTTGCTTAGGGAAAAAACCTGCTGTTTGATCATTTCTGACTGTGTTCTGCACGGGGAAAGATGCCTCATAACGTGAGCAATTCCTGTCCAAATGATCCGATCTGACAAGCTTACAGGCAGCCACAGACAGGGTCTTAAGTGGAGCAAGTCAAGCAGTCTCGCTAACGTGCGGGTCTGCTAGCTCTCTCTGTAATATCAAGAGACCTGATATTGGGATACCTAGATCCAGACCTACCTAAACTAAGCTGACTGGCTTCAGCACTTGCCCAGGCTGTATGTCTTTATGCTAAGGCTGTACAGAAAAGAGGGCACCGGGGGAGCTGCTTCTCCTCTGTGGCAGAATGGCATGATTGTCCCTTGCACTATTAAAAATGACTGTTATATTGGCCATGGAGATGGTTATTACACCCCCCCCGGACTCTTACCATCATCCAAGGAGGGGTGATTCAGTTGTGAGGTTTGGGTCTGGGAGACTAGCTTGTTTGTCCTCCCTGTGTGGAAGTACCTCTCCATTTCACATCTTGGAGGTTTCCCAGGAGCTCTCTGCCAGGGAACATTTCTCACCATGTTAAAGAGCCAATTAAATGGACTGACAGTGTTTGCTTTATAAACAACTCATCTCTGTGACACAAGAGAGGCAGTTTGCTAAACTCAAATGACTGGGGGGTAAAGTTTTAGTATGTTCTCTGTAAGATGTGGACCCTGCGATACCTGCCTGGTGTACATGCACTAGAATCCACATCCTCATGAGATTCCTCCCTGAGCTATTTGGGACCAGTAATTGTGTTATGGTGAGGCTCCTGCCCCGCAGTGCTGAACGGCAGCAGCATGGGCACTGAAACAGGTCTCTGCCATCTTTCTGGTGTCGGGGTGCTCAGTGAACATGGGACACCTCTGTCAGGGCCCTGAGCGCGCTCCCCCTGCTCCCCCGCAGGGGTTTGGCTACTTGTGCTCAAGGCCAGCTCTGGCATGGCACACCTGTGTCACCTTGCATCAGACTGCTGGGGAAAGTGCCGGGGGTGAGAAAGAGCTGGGAGAAGCTCTCCCACTTTTGCTCCAGAGCTGCATTTAAGCTCAGGCCCCAGGCCCTTGCTCCTTGCCTGAGCTATGTTTCAGCTATGCCTGTGCCTTGCTGATACTGATGCTGGTTTGACTTCTTTCCTGGCTTGTCCTTAGCCTTGCCTTGCCAAGTCGGACTTGCCTGGTGATCTTGACTCTTCACTGACCCTGGCCACTGTGGCTGGACCTGCTCTGCTTTTCGTGCTTGGGTACAGTGATGTCAAGGAGCTCTGGAGGAGAACAGTGGTCAGAAGTTGTCTGGAAGGAGCACCGCAGAAGGCCATTGAAGGAGTCCTTACTCTTCAGGATGGGCAGTGGGAAGATAGCAAGCAAGAAGGGCTGTGCAAGCAAAGGTGGAGTGAGCAAAGGAAAGCTGGGGAACTTCAAGAAAATCAGCACAATATCTGATCGCTTGCTTACGGTGAATGGTGGGCACTTGGGACTTTAGTCAGGGAAAGAAGAATAAAATATTAGAATTAGGAAAACAGATCTCAGTGTGAGTAACGTTATCAAGGATTGCTGAAGGCATCAGCTCTGTGGGATGGGGTACTACCATAAGCCCTCTCTCCCTCTTAGAAAAGTCGAGCAACTGAGTAACACAGGATTATAAGTGTTCGGTGTGGATTCTAACTCTTTTTCTGTTTGCAGTACAGCCCATAATGGGCTATACTGTTTTCTGCCAACAGGACAAGATCACGACTGTATCAGCTTCATCTTCAAAGTATCCCAATCCAGTGGCTAAAGAGAGAACAGCAACAAGGAACTTCAAAATGCTGAGAGTGAGCTGAGATGCTGGACTTGGTTACTCATCCGTACTGTGGTCATATCTCAGGGATTTCCATTGTACTTGGCTGGAGCTTCACTTCTCTGCCTCCTTCAAAATCAAGGGAGATTTCTTTCTTCCTGCTCTGCACCAACTGGCTGTGCTGCCACGGACTATATATTCCCTTCCCTGAACTCCAATGTGTGGTTGGGTTCTCAAATCCGTGGGGGAAAAAAACTACCAAGGACCACTGCAGGCTCCTCTTAAGTCAAAATCTGCTGAAAACTGGGAAGTGTCTTTGAGGAATTATCACCATATACTTGCCCTGT